ATATATTATAAATATCTTTTTCTCGCTGTTTCCATAACTTCATTCTAATAAGGCACTGAACAAAAATTTGAAATTAACACCATGTTAGTTGCCCACTGTCCGAAACGAAAATAATTAATTGTAATTTTGTTTTCAAACCATAAATGACTTGCGAGTATAAAACAAAGTTATATCATTGTCATGTCATGTCATAAGACGAAGGCAGAGTAGACGAAGTTAGCATTAGCAACCAGCTACAGTCAGTTCAGAAGTCATTTCCAGATTTTAAACAATTTATCACATACTCACTCTTTTTCTTTTGTTTCCCCATTTTTCCCCTTTAAATACACAATTCGACTTCAAATAGGCGGACGCTAGTTTAAGGACCTACATCTGCTTGTTAAACTGAGAGGGTTGATAGACACAGTAAACAACTCCACGTTGGGTCCAAATACGGCATGTATCGTAAGACAGTCGAAACTGTCGTAAAACAACGCAAACGCTCAATTTTCTGTATTAAAGAAAGAAAGAAAGCGCATTTAAAAAAAATAAGCTCAAATATAAAAACTTTTATTTTCGTCGTATCAGGATCATTTGTTTAAAGTAAAGATATTTAATAAGTTGTTCTTAACACGGTTTGGACAAATGCATATGTAATGTATAAAGATCCACACAGTGGCGCTGAATTCCATCTCAAGACAGCTGAACGAGTGTTTGCAGAACAGAGCGCAACTGGAGGACCTGAAGCTCACTAATCTATCAGCAAATCCCTTTAGCTGCGAGTTGACATGGCTTGACTGGTCTCTGCGGGAAGTTTCAGGAAATGCAACAGGTGGAAAAGCTGAAACTATGAACTGTGGACTGCTGTAAGTGTTTTTACACTTTCAAACAGACGGGGGTTTCTGCAGTGCACTGTTCTGGGGTCAGTTACATTTATAAACGGTCACTAAGAACATAATTCACCCACTTTGTGTATGCTTACTCCTGTTATCCGGTGCTCGTTAGCGTCCCAGGCTAGCTGCCGTGTGCACTTGAAGGTGCCCGTGGGAGTCGGACAGGGAATAACTTTGTGCTCCTTCAAGACGGTTTGTTGTCTGGTCTTAACATTATAATCTGTACTTGTTTATGCAGAAATACTGTTATATTAAACAGGGGTCGGTAGCTTGGTGTTTATTTATAGAGTTGTGTATCTCAAGCAATGAAGCTGCGGTGCAAAAATAAAGGATTTGTTCAAGTGTCATTTAAAGTTGTGAGATGAATTCGTAACGTGTTAAGATTTGGTTTTACGCACATAAAGGGAATAACTGGTGTACTGGTCCATTTATTATTGACAGGTCAGGTGGCACCATGGATGACAACAGCCTCAGTGACTCCAATGTAAAGGTCGCTGTTCGTGTGCGACCACTGAACAGGAGAGGTAAGTATGTCCCACAGATCTCATGACACCTTATCAACGCTTAAGAATATCAGAGCTGTGTTTGCTCTCTTTGTGTTTGTGAGGCAATGGCTAGTTTGTGTTTTTGACAAACTATCCAGGCTTCCTTCCTGTGTTTCACACTGTTATTGTTCTCTGAAAAGGTCTATTTTGCCCTTCTTCGAAATACTTTGGCAGGAGTGGTGTGGAAGTGAGAAATGGGGACACTGACATCACATCCTGTCAGACAATGTTTTACAGTGCACAGTCATTGGTTTAAATACCTGTGAAAGTAGCTGAGCAGACAGAAGCATCACCTGACAGACAACAGCAGCAACATTCTTTAACTTAACTGTAATTTCATATATCATCTTTCCGATAGGTTTTCTTCAAGAGCTTGTAATGTAAAGCAGCAAATATGGCTTTTAAAATTAAGTATGATCTTGCAAAATCTCATGGCATGCGCACTAATTCCTGCTCTAATAAGAAGTTTGAGTAGTTTGTCCCCACCTTTAAGACCTACTATTGTAGGTAGGAATGAGGAAGATCAGGTGTGACCTAGCTTGGCCTTGCTGTTTGTTCAGGGACTAATAAACTGGTCATGATGTTTGCACAGGCAAGTCTTGTATGAATCATCATTAATTAAACTTTATCTTTACCTACTTTTGTTACAGTGACAAGGAACTAGCACACACAGTGTATGCCACCTGTTATTCTGCTGTGAGAGTTGTGTTAGTAGTCAGCGATTACTAAGGAAGGTTATGATGACCAGTGCATACGTGTTGTCTATACTATTTACACCGTACATTATGATGATCAGACCTCTTTTCAGGTCCAAAATTAACTACATTAAGACTGGTTACTGATTGCAGAAAGCATATTTTTAATTTTCTCATTAAAGATACATTTTACATTCTTTGTTCTCTGGTTCATTTCAGAAAAAGAGCTAAAATCAAAATGTGTGGTGGAGGTGGAGGGGAACCAGACGGTTCTACATCCAGCCATCACCAGCATGAACAAAGGAGACCCCAGGTAAGCAGCAGAATTTCACACACAGCTTTTTCAGATTATCATCAGATTAGTGCAAAACCATTCAACTATTGGAAGTTGGGTGATTGTGAAATTTAGTCTTTATTTTATTGTTACTCTTTGGTTTAATTTTTCAGCTTCTTCCATAAAAGGTTTTTTTTTTTTAGTCATGAATCTGATTGTAAATTCTATGTGACAGAATTAAAAAAACTTGCAGCTCAACTTTAACACCAATAATTTGTGACTTTACTTTGACTTTTAAATTGCATTTAAAAAAAAAATTATTTTAAATTGTGTTCAGAAACAAAACACAGGACTTGGGCTTGACTTGAAACTTGTTTAGGACTTGCTGATCTTCACTTGCACCTTGACTCGGGTTTTAATGGGCTGGACGGTATAGAGAATGTGAAGGTACATCACACTGTCTTGAATGTTGGAACAGGGATGCCACTTTGGGAGATATGGGCTGTATTTGCCTGCATATAATCTTTATCTTGGGGCTAAGAAGTTGCTGAAATTGTTAAATCTCACTTTAATGACTGTGGTCATCCAGAATGCATAACCTTAGCAGACTGTAGCTAACTTGTAGCAGACCTAGACATCCCGTTGATGAGAGCGACAGACCGAAAAATGACTCTGCACCCTGATCTCAGGTCTTGGTTCGGGAGCTCGTACTAGGTAGCAGCTGTCAGCAGATAACACAAACACTGCAGATGAATCAATTTCTGTCCTGTCTGTGTTCAAACTGAAACCTAAAGTGGATGTTTGGATGTAGCTGAAGTATCCACTACTGTATGTAGCTGTATGGGATAGTATTTAATTTTTTTTATTAACTTATAGATGTATCTAGTTTATATCTGTTTGATGGATAAAGAGAGTGAGCTTCCAAAACGGTACATTCACCCAAAATTCAGCACGGTATGATGACAACCTCACATTGTCTGTTGACTTGATACTTGACTTGGAACTTGTTGGTCATCACCTGGGTCTTGATTTGAAACTTCTTGGTGTTCACTTGGGAGCTAATGGTCTTGACCTTTATCTTGTTGGTCTTGACTGTATTGACTTGGTACTTGTTGGTTGTCACTTGGGACTTGACTTGGGACTTGCTGGTCTTGACTGGGGACTTGAATTTCCTAGTTACTTGTCTTGGCAAAACATCCCCAGATCGTCTACACACAGTCCAGATGTGGCTGCTAAGCTCTTAAGCAGGTCTTCAGAGAAGTCTCATGTAACACTATTCATGATCTCTTTGCACTAATTTACTATCACAGTCAGAATTCAGTTCAAGACTCCTGTAATTATTTTTAGAGCCCTTCATGGGCAGGTATCCACCTACACTGGAGGTCTGATCAGGGTTTATTCATTGTGCTAAACTCAGAGGAGACTGTTCCTTTGAAGGTGTGGCTTCTAAACTTTGTACTGTAACTCTCTTCCATTGGATTTAAGGTTTCTGGGCACCATGGAGCTCAAGATTTAGACTTGGCTTTGAGTAGTATGATTTTTATTGCTTGTCTTACGTTTTATTGCGAAGCTTGTTATGTCTGATGTAGAAAGGTAGGACCTCACAGTGACCTACAGAACAATGACATGCATACATTAGTTTGACAAAATGAAGAGTGATAATATAGAGGAATAACACACTAGCTTTCCATAGTCCTCTTGCCTCACGAAACTTGCCAAACTTGTTTTAACATTTTCATGGTTATTTTTTCCCATGTCCTCCACAACTTAGATTGAATAATTCTAGTGGACAAGTACCTCAGGGTGGTAGGATGGCAACAAGGAGGTATCTGTATCGGGGACTGAATACAATTCTATGCAGTGCTGTTAACGTTTTGCCTCATTCAAGTGTGTAACACTTGTAGTATTTACAGTAAAGGAGATCCATCAGTTGAGTTTCCTGAGGATTATTGAGTTTACAGAGTCTAACCAGATCGTCTGGTTAGCACTCAGTTTCTTCATAGAAGGTTAGATCCAACCCTTACCCCACCCATTCTCCTCCCATTACTCCTTTTCCATTTTCTCTCCTCCTCCTCTGTTCTTCCTGCACCATTCCTCTCTTTACAAAAGGTGTGTCTGTTCCAGCTCAGTCCTGCTCAAGTAGTTAGTCATAAATTAAAAGAATCAGAACAAAGGAGAGGAGAACAGTGTTAGGAGTTGCATTCAAGAATCAGAATTTAAGTTGCAGGTTATGTATCCGGGCAGTATGAACGTTTGTCTTTTGGTTAATACTACAATTTCACAACTCACATCAGTGCAGTATATTGTGTTGGGAGTATAAAATGTGCATTGATCATGATAAATTGAGACCTATAACATATGGAGACACAGCATGTGCCACCAGGCATGTGTTGTGTGTCTCCATATGTGTTTACTCTTGACCAATCACTTCCGTCCTCCTCTCTCCACCTGTGGGAGCAGTGCAAGAAGATGCTCCTTGGAGGTTTTGGCTCCTTTTCAAGTTGCCTTATTCCATAAATATGCTGCAGGGCAATCCCCACCAGACATGAGAGTATTAATTCTTGTCTCTGTGGACAGAGTGGGTCTCATGTTTCATAGTTATCCTATGCATTTTTTGTGAATGAGTGTATCTGTTTATGTCTCCTCTGCCCTGGCATGCTTCATCTGCACAGTGCTTTCCCCTTTGGGGCTTGATGTGAACAGGTTTTACAGGCTTAGTGCAACACAGACAATGATCCCAGAACAGCACAAGGGTCATATTGAAGCAGCAGTTAAAGAACTGATTTTGAGCAAGAAGCAAGTATTTTAATAGGACAGCATTAGTTTTTGTATCAAAGCACTCCAGGTTATATTCTGTTATTGGCAGCTGTGCATTTGGTGTTACAGAAAGCTTTGTTTGTTGAGGCAGTTACTGACCAGCCAATTTGACAAGGCTTTTGCTTAGTCAGCTCACTGGCTGACAGTTTTAACTGAATTGCTGAATGAGCCCCAAGGGGTGTTTATGTTTAACGACACCCTTGGTAGCTGCAACTCGGAATACAACAGGGGCTATCAGAGCCTCGAGATGAAAGAGATTAATGAAGCCT